TTATTTTGAATGTTTCGACTCTTTTTGGAATCCTCTTCAGCAAGAGAATGATACAAATATAATTAGCTGTCCATAATGTTTAATCACTTACAAATTGACAAAGATGCAGCGTTGTTAATCTAACATTTGTTTTTTTTTTAAAACAAATCTTATTAGAGTAATATATGTAAACAATTTAAATGACTTACCATTACGGAACATGAAACATTATACTGAAGCTTTATTGAACAGCTTTGTTAAAACTTAAAAAGAAATGTTAAAATCAAATATAAAGATCACACATTTTTAGAACACACGTCCGTGTCACTCAAATATGAACTATTTTCGAAGTAAGAGGTCACACTAAACATAAGTAAACATTGAGACAAATTTGCAATTATGAAGAACAAACACATGTATATTGTTATTAAGTCAAATCAATAAGAACTGCAATAAATTATTGTATAATAATTAAAAACTGTCAAAAAAATTATTAGTATTGTAAAATAAAGAATTATATAATAAAAAGGAAAAAAAAGAAAAAATTCTTCACTATAAAATATATTTCGTTAAAATTGTTACATTTTCGTCAACAAATAAAAAACTTTTGTCAAATTAAATTAATAAATTATAAATTTAAACAAGTTACTATATAAATTAAGAGAAATTTTCAAGCATCACTGCATAGGTATAATGCAGTCCTTCTGAATGTAAATTAAGGTTATTCTTTTGCATGTATATGAATGCCATTTACGAAATCTTTTCAAAAATTGTTTTCAAAACAATCTGTTCAAAAATTTCTCCTTGTCTAAAATTTGGACATTCTCTCAATCGCGAAGTCATATGAAAATTCAATACGATGTTCAATAATTATAGAGTGAGTGTCAGTATTCCAATTTATGTCTACGATATTCAGATATTCTACTGGAAAGTTTCCTGCATGTTTGTCCCACATAAGATTCCGTGATGGTAAGTCATTTAAATTGTTTACGCATATATTACCCTAATAAGATTTGTTAAAAAAAAAAAAATGTCAGATTAACTGCATCTTTGTCAATTTGCGAGTGAACATAAACGTTGTGGACATGTGAGCTAATTATACTTGTATCATTCTTGCTGAAGAGGACTCCAAAGAGAGTCAAAACGTTCAAAATAAAGAAGACATCACATATTCTCTCTAACATCTAATTATTGAGTGTTCACTAAATAATTGCGCTGTTTATCGTTGCTGACTCTCATTAGCCTACATTTATCTTTTTGTATTAAAATTCGAGAGTTCTAATGTAATTAATTTTAAATTATTGTTATTGATAAAATATAGATTTTACAGCACAATAAAATGTATCGAGGTTTAATCCGTTTTTATTATATTTATATTAAACACATCTTTAAATTAATTTGTATACGACTTTAATATGTACCAGTACGCTTGAGTATGTCCAATCGAATTCACTAATAGATTTCCTTAAGTGACAAATGCCAATGATATTTTCATCATTATGATGGTGATTATATAATAATATTTTCCAAATATTCAATATCGATTTAAAGCGTTTATATGAAACGCGGTAAACGCGATGCGCATTATCAGACATGCATAGACAAATTTTGAAACCGTGCAGCACATGTTTGGATTAGTGTTTAGAACAACAGACATTAATGTTTATTTTAACTTACGCTTATAAATGATATAAGGCCAGTCAATGTACTAGAATAATTATTTCAATTGTGTCGCGATGTGGAATCGAAGATTCACGAAGTGATATAAATATAGCTCTGGATCAATCACGTACACTTTCATCTCATGTTGTAATGAATTATAATTTTTCTGATATTTATTTATGTGATCGCGAGACTCGTTTTCTGTAATTCTAGTATAAGAAAATACATTTTAGTGACGCACGCACGCACGCGCGCGCGCACGCGCGCGCGCGCGCGCGTGTGTGTGTGTGTGTGTGTATGTGGACAATTGTTCCGCAAAGAAGATGAGTCTGTATTCACTGTATTGGCATCATCCAATTTTACGGTAACGATTATATATAAATATAAAAGGCATAATATAACTGCAACTGATCTCGCCTGGAGACGGTAACAGAGAAGTTAATTAAAATCGCCGTCAATTCTGCCTTGCCGCGCGTCGTCGCTCGCGCACGTGACGCGATTTGACAATGAGCCACGTCGCATCAAGAGAGGGACGTTGGATCTTCGGGCTCCGTCGCGCGACTGTAAAAGATCCGTTTGTTTATTTCCACGTGGCACAATACTTAACATACAACATTTCTATGATGCCCGCGCGCGGGATGATGACGAGCACGACGACAAGCGGGCGGACGATGGTGTGCGTCGCGTGTTTTGTTTGCGCGTTTTCTTTTGTCGCGTGTATGTCCAGCTGCGCGCTGAGAACGCGGCCGGCTCATGCAAATGCACGACACACAATGTGCCTCAATAGCCTCCACGTATTTATGCTATATGCTATCCGGTTCAGTATTTTCCACCGCGACTGTTTATTTCTGTGCCTCGTACACAGAGAATACGCGAGGCTCTCTTTTTAGAAAAAAGGTGAAAAAAAGGAGAATCGAAGAGGGAGAAAAAAAGAAAGAGAAAGTCAGCCTTACGCTGGCGTGTGTGTGTGTGTGTGTGTGGTGTGTGTGTGTGTGTGTGTGTGTGTGTGTGTGTGTGTGTGTGTGTGTGTGTGTGTGTGTGTGTGTGTGTGTACAAGGTTCTTCTTTTTCCTCTTTTTTTCCTTCTAGGCTATACAAGACTCGCATGGGCGAATCATAGGGTCTTGATGAATTTCAGCGGATCTAGGGGATCCTAGTCTCTGCAGGGAAAACAGGTGGTCTCACTTCTTTCTCACGAAGGAAAAGCAAGTTTCATCGATCGCACGCGACGATCGTTACGTCGTATCACCTCACCACCCTATACGTGTCGCGCGTGGAAACAAACGGAGTTACATTTTCTAATTACCCCTCGGGTTGGTACCGACTTCGCATAGTAATCGATCACACGTTCTTGCGGCTCGTTTCAAAATTTACGACTTTAAAGTCTCTGGGACGTTGCGCATTATTTAACGGCGATTGAAGATTTGTTCCTATTTTCTTTGAGATTTAAAAACTGTTGTCCTCGCTTTTTCAATGAGCTTAATACGAAGATATTATCGTAAATATTATTTGA